TTCACTCTCCTCTTTCACTTTCATCAAGAGGCTCTTTAGTTCTTCACTTTTTTCTTTAGGATTGGAATGAAAACTGACCTTTTCCAGTCCTGTGGCCACTGCTGAGTTTTCCAAATTTGCTGGCATGTTGAGTGCAGCACTTTCACAGCATCATCTTTTAGGATTTGAAATAGCTCAACTGGAATTCCATCACCTTCACTAGCTTTGCTTGTAGTGATGCTTCCTAAGGCCCACTTGACTTCACATTCCATGATGTCTGGCTCTAGGTGAGTGATCACATCATCGTGGTTATCTGGGTCATGAACATCTTTTTTGTATAGTTCTTCTATGTATTCTTGCCACCTCTTCTTAATACCTTCTGCTTCTGTTAGGTCCATACCATTTCTGTCCTTTATTATGCCCATCTTTGCATGAAATGTTCCCTTGTTCTTGAAGAGATCTCTAGTCTTTCCCATTCTATTGTCTTCCTCAATTTCTTTGCATTGGTCACTGAGGAAGGCTCTCATCTCTCCTTGCTATTCTTTGGAACTCTGCATTCAAATGGGAATATCTTTCCTTTTTCCCTTTGCCTTTTGCTTCTCTTCTATTGAACTTCCCTGGTGGCTCAGATAGTAAAACGTCTGCCTACAGTGTGGGAGACCCGGGTTCGATCCCTGGGTCGGGAAGATCCTCTGGAGAAGGAGATGGCAACCCACTCCAGTACTCTTGGCTGGAAAATCCCATGATGGAGGAGTGTGGTAGGCTACAGGCCATGGGGTCATAAAGAGTTGGACACAGCTGAGCAATTTCACTTCATTTCACTTCTCTTCTATTCATAGCTATTTGTAAGCCCTCCTCAGACAACCATTTTGCCTTTTTGCATTTCTTTTCCTTGGGGATGGTCTTGATCCCTGCCTCCTGCACAATGTCACGAAACTTTGTCCATAGTTCTTCAGATACTCTATCAGATCTAATCCCTTGAATCTATTTGTCATTTCCACTGTATAATCATAAGGAATTTGATTTAGGTCATACCTGAATGGTCTAATGGTTTTCCCTACCTTCTTCAACTTAAATCTGAATTTGGCAATAAGGATTTCATGGTCTGTGTGATAGTCAGCTGCCGGTCTTGTTTTTGCTGACTGTATAGAACTTCTCCATCTTTGGCTACAAAGAATATAATCAATCTGATTTCGGTGTTGACCATCTGGTGATGTCCATGTGTAGAATCTTCTCCTTGTGTTGTTGGAAGGGGTGTTTGCTGTGACCAGTGTGTTCTCTTGGCAAAACTCCATTAGCCTTTGCTCTGCTTCATTCTGTACTCCAAGGCCAAATTTGTCTGTTACTTTAGCTATTTCTTGACTTCCTGCTTTTGCATTCCAGTCCCATATAATGAAAAGGACCTGTTTTGGGGGTATTAGTCCTGGGTGGTCTTGTAGGTCTTCATAAAACTATTCAACTTCAGCTTCTTCAGCATTACTGGTCGGGGCATAGACTTGGATTACTGTGATACTGAATGATTTGCCTTGGAAACGAAGAGAGATCATTCTGTCCTTTTTCACTTTGCATCCAAGTACTGCCTTTCGGACTCTTTTGTTGACTATGGTGGCTACTCCATTTCCTCTAAGGGATTCCTGCCCACAGTAGTAGATATAATGGTCATCTGAGTTAAATTCACCCATTCCAGTCCATTTTAGTTCGCCAATTCCTAAAATGTCTATGTTCACTCTTGCCATCTCCCGCCTGACCACTTCCAATTTGGGTCCACACAAAGAAAAGGTGTGCTAGAAATGTAATAAGTATAGACAAAAAGAATAAATTTTCTCACTTTTAATTGCTCTGACAGAGTTGGCACCTTTTTTCCTGTAAAGGGCAAATGGGGCCTTCCCTGGCTGTCCAGGGGTTAAGACTCTGAGATCCTGCATGCCCAGAGGCCAAAAAAACCAACCATTTCCTGGCTTGTGCGTCTCTGATGCTGTCAGAGACTGCACTGTCTGCGTGAGCTCAGCCCCTGACCACGGGAAGGCATGGTGCAGCTGTGCCCCGCTGGGCCTGCTATGGACCTGGGATCCTCATGTCATTTCCATGCATCATGGCAGTGTTTTATTTTTTCAACGATTATAAAAACTTTAAATCCATTATTTGCTCATAGGTCACACAGAAAGGCAGCAGGTGAATCTGGCCCACAGGCCTTGGTGGGGCCTTTTGCTCTAAGACCACCGGCTGCTAGACGCACCATGCGCTACCACCACGCACCACAGGGGGGCGTAGTGGCCGCGCCAGCCTGAGGAGCCGGCCCATGTGCGGAAACAGATGGGCTTCAGTCCTGTGCCCACGTGTTCCAGCCTGACTCAGAAATTCACTATTTCATGCCAATGTCACACACAGTGGAAGATACTAAGGAAAAATGAGAGAAGCAGATGGGATCTTTCTGATGGGCGTTTCAACCTTGAAACTGAGGAACTGACTCCATTATTGCAGAAAAACACCTAGAGTAAAATTCCTTCCTGTCTGTTTCCACGTTTATCTTGGTAATCAGAACAAATTTGGTGATTTTACCTTTTACTCTGGGCTCTCATACACCAAAATTAGTTTCAGAATATTTATTAAACATTTCAAATCAGTATTTTAAGATATTAGAATCTATAACCTACCTGGTTTCTACTATTCTCTAAACTTTAAAATAATCACATCTTACAATACTTATCAATGAATTTCATGAACTTCAACTTTATTAGAAAGTAGGGGATAGGGGAACAGGTAGGCAATGGTAAAGTGTTGTGAAGTCAACCATAGAATCTAGGTGGTGGGTATATATGTGTTTACTGTAAACCTCAACTTTACAGATTTGCTATTTTCACTGAAAAAAATGTTGGGGGAAAAGGAAAAAGGGGAAAGAGAAAAAACCCAAATCATCAGGAAGCAGCCAGCAGGATACATGGGCGGGGCGGGGGGGCGGGTTACGGATGTGTCCACCGATGGATGGTCAGAGGGACACAGTGCTTGAGGACACGCTCCCACGCCTGGGAATGATGGTACAAGGCTTCCAGTAGAAAACTGAGGAGTGAAGCTTGCTTTCCCCCTTTTCCTTCCCTCCTCACCCCCTATCTCCGCAGTGGACACACGAGAGACGGAACCACTGACCCCTGGGCAAGCTCTAGCAGGTGAGGGGATGGGCAGGGGGCAGCCAGGCTTTCCAAGAACAGAAGTCCTCCTAAGTCTGGGGCAGACGGCATGTCCGAGGGAAGCAAGAGGCTGGGAAACCACTAGAAGTTTTCTGGGTTCCCACCTGCCGTCCTGCGTGTGGTGGAATCAAAAAGAACTGGTCTTCCATCTTTTTCAAGACTCTTCTCTTCCACCCCACCCCTCTTTATAGAAAATTCATCCGTACCCAAGGATCGCTTCAGAGATGCTGAGTTGACCAGTAAAACAAGGAAACATGCCAGCATCACACACACAAACCTCAGCGACTCTGAATTCACAAGAAAGGACTTGCTTTCCAAACTGATGCCCCATTTAAGAGGAGTTTTGGGAACCTTAAGAACATAAAGCATCTTCTCTGCCTGCCCTCAGCTTTGAACTGTTCTTGTGATGAAGCCTCCTTACATTTACGCCTGGAAGTTAAACCAGCTACAGACTGATAGACAAACCCCGGATACTCACACGTGGCTAAAAAGTACAGCATCGTCAGCCACCGGGAGAAACAAGTCAGAACCACAGTGAGATACACGACACAGCTACTAGCCTGGCTGTAGAGAAGAATGTTGGCAAGCATGCAGGAACACCGGAACCATTGTGCACCGGTGGGGATGTCGCACGGCGCAGCGACCGCGGGCCTCGTGCACCGGCGGGGATGTCGCACGGCGCAGCGACCGCGGGCCTCGTGCACCGGTGGGGATGTCGCACGGCGCAGCGACCGCGGGAAAGGCTGGCGCTTCCTCAGAAGCTGAACACAGAATTACCACACCCACAGCAATTCCACTCCTAGGAACACACCCCGAAGAACCAAGAGCAGGGACTCAGATAGCTGTGTGCCCGTGTCCACAGCAGCATCATTCAAACATCCGTCAACAGATGAATGGAGAAATAAAATGCCGTCTCAGCCTACAATGCAGTATTATTACTCAACCGTCAAAAAGTATGAATGAACCTAAATGAAGAGCAACACAAAAAGACAAACACCACAGGTTCCACTTACACGAGGTCCCCAAAAGAGGCAAACTCAGAGATGCAGAGCAGACCTGTGTTACCAGAAGCTGGGGAGCGGGGTGGGGTGGGGGGTGGTTACCATCCACCAGTTTCTGCTCCTACTGCTGCAGAAGTTCTGGGATACTAAAGGTGGTTGATACACTGTATTTATTTTCCACCAAATTGTATACTTACAAATGGTTAAAAGAAACATTACTTCCTGGGTATTTTACCACACAAACAAAGCTCAAAGCAGCAGGAGTAAATTAAATGCTTGCTACATGTGTAGCACTGAGCTCACCACACCCAGGCGGCCTTCACATCAGGCAGGCAACGGGGAGAGAGCCACAGCCTGCCTTCGAGGACACTCGGCGTTTCCACCACCAGTAAAGCGGCCGATTCTGAAAAGCCAATCTGTTTTCTAGTCCCAACCAGACCCCAAAGGACACCCCTTACAAAGATCAGGTTCAAGGACTTGCAATACATTAAAAACAACCTGAAAAAAGAAAAACCAAAACCTGTTTTTTATATACTTTCCAGCAAGCAATAAACACCAGACTTCTCCAGCGCTATTACTTGCTCCGTGAGCCTCTGACACAGAGCTGGGTTTACTGGAAGGAAGCTTTGCTGATTATTAAGAATCGAGACCCAGCAGCCTAGAAGGTGAGGAGTTCGTGTCTTGCCGCTGACACCCATGAGCCAGGACGCGCTGTGCCAGCAGGGGGAGGCCGAGCGGCGTCTGGCTGGGCAGCGTGTGCAGTGCACCAACCCACGCGGTTGTCAGGGGACTCGTTGTCTGAATGTGAGGATGAAAAGCAGAACTCTACAACTCATCCTAAAAGAGAGAGCAATCTCCAGGCATTTTTTATTATTTGACTAACAGAACAAAGCCAGGCAGAAAAGCCCCCAAGGAAAGTCATGCTTCCTGGCTGCTTGCTGTGTGGTCCACCATCTTCTAAGCACTCACTGTATTTCCTTCGAAGGATTTTAGACATTTATTTTGATCACAAATGCAATCCAAGTGTGAATAAATAAATGTATTATCTTTTAAGATTCCCACCCCACCCCACCCCCCGCCCCAACCATGTTCTTTTAAATACAAAAAGGTGCTGAAAGTCTCTTCACAGCCTGTTTGGCCACAGTTGTCCCACCCAAGGTTTTAAAACCAGGCTGAACCTGATCTTCTGACATCTTTCCTTAGACTGAGCTCACTCTGTAGAAGTCCGGGAGAGAAGTCCTACTGGTATTGTCGATACTCCCCAAAGGGCGAGGCTGGTAACTGGGCTGAAGGCAACTGGGAGGGGTCTTCAGCAAACGGAGGACCTGCAGTTCAGAGAGAATTTAAACCCCACCTAAATGCTACGTAGTTTAAAGGAACAAGTCTCTGTAGAGAGCAAATCAATCAACTCAAAAAGAAACCCTGCCACATTCAGGCTGTAATCTGAGCATTTGTGGAGCTGCTCGATTCCCATGGGACCGCCTCTGCGGGGGGGGGGGGGGGGTCCGGCAGAGGCAGCGCCCCCTGCCCGCCCCTGGATGGACAGCTCTAAATGCTCTGCAGTCGGATGGACTAATGACAGCAAGGAGCAGCCCGCCAGGTTTAAAGCATCTGCTGAGCAAACTGCCATGTCAAGACCGCACCAGTCTCTCACACCTCCTGACATATTTTTCAGTAGCTATTTAAAATTATTTTCACAAAGTTTAAGTACTTCAGTTATGTTTCAAGAGAACTCAGTAATACAATCTATACAATGATGCATGTAAGAAGCAGGTTCTGCAATGGGAAGACAGGCCTGCTCCTAGCTTACACAGGTGCTAAGTACAGCAGCTGGTGCTTTCGAAGGATGGGACGGCGTGTGACCCAAGGTAAAACATAGCTCTTTAAAAGAAAGCCTGTAATGGTAATGATCACTCCTTCTTCCCTCAGGGAAACTGAGGCAGACTAAAGGATGGGAGGAAGAGGAAGCGGGAAAGAGGGCTCTTTCTAGAGCTCCATTCACTCCAGTGATTGCCTTTCTTCACTCTAAAATATCTGTTCATTCCAGAAAGCTGGAGGAGACACTGGGTGAAAAGATAAACCAAAAACAACCCTTGTTACCATTTGGATACAGTTTTATTTTTTAAGAACTTTTTCATGTAAGTTAATTGGAAACACAATTAACTTTTCAAACACTTCCACTTCCCCACAAAGCTTTTTGGAAACATCTCAATCTAAGATAAAAAGCATTTCCTTCAGCTCTTCCTTCTGAGGACAGAAGCCTAAAGCCAGGGAAACAAGGCTAGATCCCACAAGATGGTGTGACTGAGCTCTCATTATGTCAATTTCCGAATTCCTGACAATATGCAACTTTTCTGATGTTTTATGTGAAATCTTTCACACTGAAGCATTAAACTGAAAAGCAAAAGCAAAATCACAACAGAGTATTACGAAGTGATGGCTGAAAGCAGAAGGGAGGTGTGAGGGCCAGGGTCCACCTAGGTCACCCACTGGCGTGCTGAGCAAGCCTCTGCGAGCCCTGCCCCAGAACACCCCGCATCAGGGAAACCGAACTGAACTGGAAGCTGTGACCGGCTCCAAGCTCTGTGCCAAATAGTTTCCAAGCTCCAAAAATAACTTTCAACCCTCACCCCCACCCCCCAATGATCCTGTGTCTTTCTGCTGCCTTACGACGTCAAGGAATATTCCTGTTTAGACAACTCAAGTTTTCTAATTTACAAGAACCCGCACATGTTGACTGCGGAGCAGACACTGCCTGGCCACGTCATGGATGCTGGCGGCCCAGCTGACTGCCCAGCACGTTCCCTGGCGCTGGACAGGAGGGGCAGGCAGCAACATGCCATACCACAAACTTCAAACAGCTCTCCCTGCCAGCTCTAGAGCGAGCCCCCAACCAGGGGCCACCTTCCCCCGAGAAGCACCACCGCCAGGTCTCGCCCCCCTCGCCTGTGCATGTGCCAGACCCACGTGCCCACTGCCCCGGCGCACACACACAGCACAGGACACAAACTGGTCATGTGACGCCCCCGCATCTGCAAGGCCTCCCTTCACACAGCTCTGAAGTGGTCAGCAGTCTCTTACAAGAAGCGGGTGAGTACTGACAAGGCCTGAGAGCTGTGAGCAAAGATCCGGGCAGGCCATCTTGGCGAGCACTCTGTTCCTGTGAACAAACACAGTCCACTGCACCCACACCGACCTTTTGGACCAGAACTGCCCCTGTGACCACAATCGTCACCAAGCTCGGTACATTCATCCATAGTTCATGGAGCTCAAATGACCACATTTTAGCAGACAGAATATGTTTCATTCCAGATGCCTGAGTTGTGTGCTAACTGACGACTCACCGTTGGGAAACTGGGCAGAGGCAAAGCGCGTCAACAAGATACCAGCCCCTTCGATGAGAGCCAGGAGAACGCCACCCATGGCAGCCGACCCGACCATGGCCACTGGTCCGTCTGAGGACATTGGTTAGAGAGAGAAGCAGAGATGCAGGTTAACATCAGGTTCGCTGAAGGAGAGACTTGTCCAAGGGCACCTGCTGCCCCCATTCCCAAACCCTCTTTCTCTCTGACCAACACTGGGGTCAACCACCTGGGGCCCACAGGTCAAATCCAGCTCACAGCCTGTTTCTATAAATAAAGCTTTATTGGAACAACATGCACGTGCACTCACGCACGGTCTGCAGCGGCTCGCTGGCTGTGACGGCAGAGTTGAGTGCTTGTGACAGAGGCGCCACGACCCACAAAGCCCACACCCTCGCCACCTGGTGACCTCAGCTCACCCCCAGGCCCAGAGGCGTTCTGGGCCGCCATAACCCCAGGGACCTGGAAGGTTCTGCGCTCTACGCTCTGAACAGTGCTGTGCAGCAGGCCCATGACTCACTGCAGACTGAGGAGGGCGAGGCCGGCTCATGGTTGGTGGAGAACTAGACGGTGAGCTGCTCTGACCACGCGGTTACTGGTCGGAGCCCCAGGCGCTCGCACGCTCAACGTTCCAAGTAACAGATCCTTCCACTTTCCCCAGCTCACACTCGCACCCACACTAAACTGACGGACACAAGGCTCGGTTCAGCCGCTACAGGCGTGCTGAGGGTCAGACGGCCGACACGCACACATGCGTCTTACTTCTTGCCGCCAGGATGGCTCCGGTTAAGGCACCGCTCGTGATGGAGTTCCAGGGGTCTTCCTTCCCTCGGACCTGAACCATACTGCAGTCGATCATGGAAAACAGGCCTCCCCAAACTGCGAAGCTACCTGTTTTATTAAAGAAACAAAACACATTTCATTGTTCTCACATTTTAAATGTTATATTCAAAAACAAGCTTAAATAACAACACTCACTATATTCTTAGAACTCTCGCACTCTACGCACTGAACAAGTCAGAATGCTTATCTTTTTAATAAAGCTTGGGCTGTACGCATCAGTGAGAGATCAGCCACGGCCCGAAGCCTCGGCAGACTGGGCTCCGCACGCTCAGCACCGCTCCGGCAGAGCGTGTGCGCCTGTTCCGCTCCTTTAACGCAGCTTCCCCTTTCGTCTCTTCCTTTCCTTCAGTCAGAGCCACTCAGCACCGGCTCTGTGGAATCAGCGATGAGAACACAGGAGATGCCCAGGTGCTCTGCGGCGTCACGAGTCAAGACACGCTCAGAGCTAAGGGTGATCTGAGTGGTGAGAGCTGTGGAGCCGCGAGGAACGGAGGTTACCCTCCCCTCCCCCCCACCCTTTACTCCTCAAGCACGAAGCTAAAAGCAACCCTCAGTCAGATCACTTCACACTTAAACTCTTCCTAGATGGTGACTAGTTTGTAAAAATGACAAGCACCTACACGTCCAAGTGTAGAAGTGCACACAGAATCTAGAAAGCTGACACCAAGAGTCCAACTGTCAGCATCTCCAGATGACAGATGGTAACAGGCGATTCAACTTCCTTGTGCTTTTATTTTCCGAATCTTCTAAAATGAACACACAGCTTGCACTCCATAGAAAGGGTTCTTGTATTTACTACAAGTTAAAAAGTAAGAAAAACGACCTGAGGAGCCCCCGTGCCAGGATCCTGCACCCTCTGAAACCTCCGGACGCAGGGTGGGCTGACCAGGGTCAGCTGAGCCACAGCCTTCTCACCGCGGGCCCTGCACCAGACGCCCCAGAGGACAGGACTGAGTCACCACTTCTGGCTCAGGGGAGCCCTGCCCTGCGAGAGATGATGCCCAGGGGTGTCAGTCACCTGTCCACACTCAGACAAGGCCCACCTGCTCCACTCCTTCACAAGGTCTGACCCTCCCACTCCAAGGATGCCTGCCGGGGTGAGCCAGATGCTGATGAGAGTGGAGACTGGTCCACGAAGACAGGGGCCCGAGAGGGCAGCCTCGGCCAGAGCAGGTGAGCAGGGTCCATGGGAGAGACAGTCCCAGGCACGGGGGTCCGTGTGCCCGTGTGGAAGGGTGTCAGGCAGGGAGGAAGGTATACAAAGGGAAAAAGGAGGAGGAATCTGTGGGCCTGGACTGGAATCAGGGCTATCCCTGTGAACCCCTGATTCCTAATACACACAGGTACACAGAAAACAGATCGAGACTGTGTGCATACGTATGTGGTCAGAGGGTCCACTTGTATATAGTAAATACACAGGACGCTCCGAGGAAGGCCTGGGAGCAACCACAGCCCACAGCAACGATACTAGGGCCCAGACTGTGCTTCCAAGTACCGTTCTCAACGGGAAGGAACGGCTGACTACACTCGGGATGAGTCCAGGTGCGAGGACGGGCGGGAAGAGCGGGGACGTGTCAAAGCATCTCGGTTCCACTCTGGAAATAGAAGACCTTTCAGGACACAGCTATGGCTTTCCCATGCTGCCCTTCCCAGGAGCTCGACTGGAAGAGCTCAGTCTACACTCCCTGAATCAAACTCGTAAGTGCCATCCCTGTACTTGTATTTATTTTAAATAATGTTTTTTAATTAATTCATTTTGGTTGCACGGGGTCTTCTTTGCTGGGTGAGGGCTCTCTCTGGTTGTGATGGCAGGGCTCCTCTCTGGTTCCAGTGGGGGGTCTCCTCTCTAGTTGTGGGAGGGCTCCTCTCTATTTTTGGCGGGGGGCTCCTCTCTAGTTGTGGGGGCGTCTCCTCTCTAGCCACCGTGTGCAGGGGTCTTCCTGTCGCGGCTTCTCCTGTTGCAGTCTGGGCTCTAGGTACATACATGGGCTCCAGCAGCCGTGGCGACGGGCTCAGCCGCTCCACGCACCCCTGCCCAGGGGTTGAGCCCATGTCCCCTGCGCTGCAAGGCAGACCCCTAACCCTGGACCACCAGGGAGTCCCAAACATTGCACATTGTTAACTGCCACCTGCACTAAACAGATCCTCAGTTTTTACGTCTGTTTTCGGCCCCACCTCACGCTCAGCTGTGGCGTCTCCTTAGGCCGATCCTGGCTGTGACCGTCACCTGTTCTTCTATTCACTGAAAACGCGTGACAGAAGCAGCCTCTCAAGACGCCTGCTAACACCCGCAGGACTTCTGTGTTTATCGAAGGTCAGGGTGGCGTGTATGCTTCTTTACTACTCATCACTCCTGAACAACGTGGTAACCACTAGGTCAGAGGAAAATGAGGCCGTTTACTCTCCAAGGTGTCCAACTATTACAGTGGGAAGAACAGGAAACAGATACACCATCACTTCAACCTTGGAGCCCCCATTTCCTCCGTTGGAAAACAGAGATAATATTACTTACCTCTGTGTTGCTATGAGGACTAAATAAAATAATAAAACACTTGGAGTGCTCAGCACATGACAAGCACTCAATAAACAACATAGGCCAGCTACTACCTTCTAAAGAGAAAAAATGCTATAAAGACAAAGAGAGACCATCTCTTCTGACGCACAGGCTAAGGGGAGGCTAGGTGCAGGCTCCGCTTCTGTGCGGCATGTGGTCCCTTCAGCCTGACAGTCTCTGTAAGTGAATACCAGCGTCCAGCTTTCCTGCCCCCTCTTCTCCCAGCTTCCGAGTAACCAAGCCTAAAGAATGTGATGAACATCATCCCCTCCACTCCTGCACGGATGTCCAACAAGCTCTCATGAACCCCAACCCTTCCACTCATACCCGCGTCAGCTTCACGTCACCCTGGACACTCGCTCCAGACTCACAAACCTAAGCTGTGGACACACTGTTTTCCTTCTGGATAAGAGGGGAAATAAAACAAAGGCAAACAGAATCAGAACACCACCAAGCTTCCGAAGGACAGATTTTCAACTGGATGCAACAATGTAAGTTAAAGTTAATCATAAACCAAGAACCTCAGAAGGGGACAAGCAGTTATTTAGACCTAACTAAAATTACTAACTAGTAAAATGTAAAAAAGAAAAGGGGACAAAAAACAAAAAACAGAGCTTCATCTGAAAAAAAAAAAAAACAGGGAAAAAAATCGTTTAGAGCTCAAACAGCAACACTCTGCTTACCTCCCAGCTGCGGGGCCCTGGTTTTAACAGCTGTCAAACTCCCCCTTAGTCTGTGGTTTACTCCCTGTAAGGAAACAAAAGGAGAATAATACGTTTCCAACCCACTGACAGACCCAAGTGATACTAGCAAACAGCGATCACCTGATGGTAACATGAGCCTGGTCCCCCACTTACCACTGGAGAATTGCGGAAGCCTTTGATTGCCTGGAAGATCCCACCACCTATGGTTCCCATTGTAAAGGCCCCACCGCAGTCGTCCACAATGCGCCAGGGGCTGAGAACAGGAAAGAGAGAAGACACAAGATGAGCGTACTTCTCATCTATAAGCCACAGAGCCCCTTGCTGACAAGAGACACACCAGATGCCAATGCAGGGCCCACGGCAACCAGGAACGTCTGGCCCACAGAACACAGAGAAGGATCCCGAACAGATGGAGCTGCTCCGCCCCAGTCCTCTAAGCCGAGGGAGTGAACTGGCTTCAGCTCCCTACTGTTCACAGTGCTTCCTTACTCACTCAACTGCTGGTGCATCTGTGCTAAATCGGCATGGTGCAAAGCGGATTAACAAGCACTAGGAAATTACACTATAACCAAATGGTGATCCAACTGCCTCGTGATCAAGCTAAACTCTCCAGATGGAGCAAAATTTAAAGCTGAGACCCAAAGAATAAGGCTTCAACAGGTGCAGAGGAAGACACACTATTTAATATTTAAATTTTAAAACTTCTTTTTGGGTTTACTGAGTCCAAGTTAGCACTTGGAACTTGAGTTTGTATCAGATGCACTTAGCACATCGGTGCCCCTAACATCCACTCATCAGGGTTAAACCTGCAAACCTGGTCTCCACATGCAGCCGCCCAGCTCATGAAGCGCAGTGGCGTCTGGTCAACGCGGTCAGTGGGATGGGACTAGTACTCCAGGCATCTGCTTACTAAAGAGTTAGTCTGTGCAAAGGAGGCAAGGAGATACAATGGAAAAAAGACAACCTCTTTAACAAGTGGTGCTGGGAAAACTGGTCAACCACTTGTAAAAGAATGAAACTAGAACACTTTCTAACACCATACACAAAAATAAACTCAAAATGGATTAAAGATCTAAATGTAAGACCAGAAACTATAAAACTCCTAGAGGAGAACATAGGCAAAACACTCTCCGACATAAATCACAGCAGGATCCTCTATGACCCACATCCCAGAATTTTAGAAATAAAAGCAAAAATAAACAAATGGGACCTAATGAAACTTAAAAGCTTTTGCACAACAAAGGAAACTATAAGCAAGGTGAAAAGACAGCCCTCAGATTGGGAGAAAATAATAGCAAACGAAGCAACAGACAAAGGATTAATCTCAAAAATATACAAGCAACTCCTCCAGCTCAACTCCAGAAAAATAAATGACCCAATCAAAAAATGGGCCAAAGAACTAAACAGACATTTCTCCAAGGAAGACATACAGATGGCTAACAAACACATGAAAAGATGCTCAACATCACTCATTATCAGAGAAATGCAAATCAAAACCACAATGAGGTACCATTACACGCCAGTCAGGATGGCTGCTATCCAAAAGTCTACAAGCAATAAATGCTGGAGAGGGTGTGGAGAAAAGGGAACCCTCTTACACTGTTGGTGGGAATGCAAATTAGTACAGCCACTATGGAAAACAGTGTGGAGATTTCTTAAAAAGCTGGAAATAGAACTGCCATATGACCCAGCAATCCCACTTCTGGGCATACACACCGAGGAAACCAGATCTGAAAGAGACACGTGCACCCCAATGTTCATCGCAGCACTGTTTATAATAGCCAGGACATGGAAGCAACCTAGATGCCCATCAGCAGACGAATGGATGAGGAAGCTGTGGTACATATACACCATGGAATATTACTCAGCCATTAAAAAGAATTCATTTGAATCAGTTCTAATGAGATGGATGAAACTGGAGCCCATTATACAGAGTGAAGTAAGCCAGAAAGATAAAGACCATTACAGTATACTAACACATATATATGGAATTTAGAAAGATGGTAATGATAACCCTATATGCAAAACAGAAAAAGAGACACAGATGTACAGAACAGACTTTTGGACTCTGTGGGAGAAGGCGAGGGTGGGATGTTCTGAGAGAACAGCATTGAAACAAGTATACTATCAAGGGTGAAACAGATCACCAGCCCAGGTTGGATGCATGAGACAAGTGCTCAGGGCTGGTGCACTGGGAAGACCCAGAGGGATGGGATGGGGAGGGAGGTGGGAGGGGGGATCAGGATGGGGAACACATGTAAATCCATGGCTGATTCATGTCGGTGTATGGCAAAAACCACTACAATATTGTAAAGTAATTAGCCTCCAACTAATAAAAATAAATGAAAGAAAAGATAAAAATTTAGTCTGTGAATGGGAATTCCCTGGCGGTCAGTGGTTAGGCCTCAGTTCTTTCACTGTGGTGGCCCTGGGCTCCATCCCTGGTTGGGGAGCTAAGGTTCTGCAAGGCATGGCCAAAACGAAACAAGTCTGTGGGCAGGGACTTCCCTAGCGGCCCAGTGGGTGAGATGCCCAGCTCCCAGTGCAGGGGACCTGGGCTCTATCCCTGGTGAGGGAATGAGATCCCACGTGCCACAACAGAGACCTGGAGACAGCCAAATAAATAAATGTTTAAAAAAAAAAACAACAAGTCTGTGAATAATCCAGTTCATGAATGTCTTTTCTAACCTCCAGGGTCAAGTGGGCAATCCACCCGCTCAAGTAAACATGTGAGTTCAGTGCATCACTGCTGCTGAGGAATCTGAATAATGAGTCATTTCTGACTTTGCAAGATAGAAATACAAAATCCTGAAGCTGAAACACCTTTTCCTTTCCAAGCCTAATACAAACCAGAGGCTGGTACAGAATGACCATCTCATGCAACAGATATCCAACTGCCAGCCTGATGCTACGGGTCTGGCTACCCAGGCTTCCTTCAACGAGCCTGAAAGCAAAATCAGCAAATGCAGACTTTGGGCAGGTTCCACCCACAACCTACTCAAATCAGAGTCTAAAGTCAGCACAACCCATGGGCAACCTGACTTCACTCTAAAAGATTAAGAAGCAGTGCTCTGAGACTAAAAAGGGTTAGGAAATTTTCCTCAAAATGGTAGAAATATTAATAGAGGTGCATTCCCCTGGTGGTCCAGTGGTGAGACTTGGTGCTTTCACTGCTGAGGCCGAGTTTGATCCCNAAAAACCAGTGAAAAACAGCAGGATTCAGATCAGAGAGCAGCCACAGCATTCCACAAGATGATGTCTAAAACAAATGCAAGATGGAAACAGCTTCTGAACTACATCTGCGGAAATCAGTGTTCCCTCAGGGATGTGCCAGACACACAAGAGCAAAGTCGGACCCAGACTCCAAATATAAATGCCAGGAAAACACAGGGCGACTGAGAACCAATAATGAATCACAAGATCAAAAGTTAACAATTTTAAAATGTCCAATGTGGTCGGTTTCCTGGCGGCTCAGTGATAAAGAATCCTCCTGCCAATGCAGGAGACACAGGGTCAATCTCTGGGTTGGGAAGATGCCCTGAAGATCTACCGGCAACCCACTCCAGGATTCCTGCCCGGAGAATGGCATGGACAGAGGGGTCTGGCGGGCTAAAGTCCATGGGGATGGGGACGCAAGGAGTCAGACAAGACTGAGTGACTGAACAATAAATGGTTTAGGTGGCTTTTAAAGCAAATAACCTGACTTTCAAGGCAGTCAGCCTATCTTCTTATGAAGTGAAGGGTTAGTTGCTCAGTAGTGTCCGACTTTTTGCAATGCCATGGACTGTAACCCACCAGGCTTCTCCGTCCATGGGATTTTCCAGGCAAGAATACTGGAGTGGGTTGCCATTTCCTACTCCAGGGGATCATCCCAATCCAGGGACTGAACCCAGGTCTCCTATATTGCAGGCAGATTCTTTACCATCTGAGTTACCAGGGAGGCCCTTACAGACTGCCTACTCTTTTAACTTTGCAGAAGAATATTCCTGTCTCCTCGCCATTTTACAGATGAACAGAGGCTCAGAGATTAAACACTTTGAACAAGATCATACAGGTATTGATAGAACCAATTTAAGTACGAAAAATCTAGTACTCCAAAGCCTCCAAGTTCTTTCTACCACAGACCAAGGGCTTCGGAGAACATGTGATCAAAGAGTAAGATGATGAAGTACCTATGACATACTCAGGATGGAACTAAAGAGCCTCCCGATGAGGTGAGAAAGTGAAATGGTGGCTTAAAACCCAATGTTCAAAAAACTAACAAGATCAAGGCATCGGGTCCCATCAAATAGATGGGGAAAAAGTAGAAACAGTAACAGACTTTCTTTTCTTGGGCTCCAAAATCACTGCGGATGATGACTGGAGACATGAAATTAAAAGACACTTGCTCCCTGGAAGGAAAGCTATGACAAACCTAGACACTGTATTAAAAAGCAGAGACATCACTTTGCCAACAAAGGTCCGTATGGTCAAAGCAATGGTTTTTCCAGTATTCATGTACAGATGTGAGAGTTGAACCACACTCAGACAAGGCTGAGTGCTGAAGAATTGATGCTTTCAAATTGTGGTGCTGGAGAAGACTCTTGAGAGTCCCGTGGACTGCAAGATCATCAAACCCATGAATCCTAAAAGAAATCAACCCTGAGTATCCATTGGAAGGACTGAAGCTGAAGCTTCAATACTTTGGCCACCTGATGCGAAGAGCTGACTCCCTGGAAAGGACTGAGGGCAGGAGGAGGAAGGGGCAACAGAGGATGAGATAGTTGGATGGCATCACCGACTCAATGGACCTGAGTTTGAGCAAACTCCAGGAGATAGTAAAGGACAGGGAAGCCTGGTGTGCAGCAGTCCATGGGGTCGCAAAGGGTCAAACACAACTTAGGGACTGAACAAACTGAATACAGAATGAAAATTTAATATTCCATAAAAATCTTTAACCCAACAAAGTCAAATATTTCCCCCTCCTACCACCCTGTGTCACATCACACTGAGGAGCAAGTGACAGCAGTGCACAGGGTGCGGAGCCCTGCACACCTGAGCACCACCGGGAAGGGGGACCACTACCTTTGGGAAGATAAACTTAAGGAGCTGGGAGGCGCTGAAACATACACTCCGTATCTCATTTCGGAGAGGAAAATAGCACAAATCAGCAGCATGGCTGGCGCGGCAATGTCAAAGAGTGAAGCCCTGGGCCCTTTCACACAAATGGAGAACACCCTGGTTCCTGCTCTTACACAAGAACTCAAATAACAAGATTTGATTTGTCATTCATGACCCCAGAAGCCTTAAACCGTGTGAGTGCCTGACTTCTCCACGCGTTCATTCCTGGGACAGACCTCGCTAGGTGCCGAACGAACGGACCGCTGTCGGCGACTTGGAGAGCACACTCCACTCTCCCCGTTTTCCCCGCCCCGACCCCACCGCCCGGGTCCCCTTCCCCACCGCCCGGACCGAAGCAGCCGCGCCACGCGGACCTTCCCAGGACACCGCCGCCTCCCCTCGCAGGGCGAGCCGCGCGGACGCAAGGACGAGCCCAGGATCGCCAGCGGGCAGCGGGGATGCTCCCCACATGCCGCGGGGCAGGGGTCGCGGCGGCACAGCCGAGCCGGGGCGCCCTCAAGCAGCCGCAAGGTCAACGGGAGCAGCCCCGGTGGCCCCAGCCGGCTGCTAACGCCCGGGTGCCCACGGCCCCTGGCGCTGCCGTGCCCGCGGCTGAGAGCGGCCTCGACCCGGGGACCCAGGGATCCGGGGCCGGCGGCGGCTGTGGGCGGGGCTCCGGAGCATAGGGCGGGGCGTGTGGACAGCGGGGCGGGGCGTAGGGTGCCGGGGGCGGGGCAGGGCGCCAGGTGCGGAGAGGTACCCAACACTGAAGTACCCGGGTCGCTCCGCTAGGGTTCCCCGAACTCCCGGACGCGTTTCTTTGTTCTAGCACCTGGCTGTCAAGTGTGAATTAATGCTGCCTGCGTCGTCTGGGTGGGTGAGGCTCCACCGACTCCCCGGAGCTCCGTGAGGGCAGGCAGTGCCAAGGTACTTTCAGTCTCAGCGCCGAGAGGCAGTGGATGTCCCTTAAATGTTTGTGATAATCTGGGCCGCTGTAACCCGTGGGGCTCTCGACGTGGGGGTTTCTACACACCGCAGCATGAGAAGGTCACCCCTTGGAAACCGTTGCTATAAGCAGGTCTCTTGACAAGGTTGGAGACAGGACTGCCTCGTCTTCACGCTCCAGGACACTGAAGGGACAGCTCTCTCTCTCCCCTCACTGGAGCAGATTATCTGCCCTCCAGGGTAATAGCGATGTATTCAAGTTGTGTCTACTTTATTCAAGTAGCTGGGGGACTTCCCTCCAGAATGTCTTTCCTGTAGACAGGGAGCTCTCAGGCTGACAGCATCTTGGGTGGAGGATGCAAGGGAGAAGCCTTCTGCACACTCACACCTGTGGAGGGATGCACGTTTTCAGAACCCACATCCCCTTAGAGGGTCCTGCTCCCCAGTGGGTTGGGCTCCACTGAGCCAGAGGCTTGGGGGCCTCAAGAGCTCCACCCAGCAGGAGGTCGCCGCCCCCAGCCCCACCTGGCCTGATGGCTGTGGATGAGTGAGGCTGGCACCACCTCTGGCTCTGGGTCTGGGGCTCTAGTCTATGACTGGGGCCTGATGGGGGTTTAGGCGGGCTCTTTTCTGCCCTCTCTCCCCTCCCCCACCCTCTTTTCAGGAAGATGTGTGTCTGTGCTCTGTCTTGGAGCTCTCCTCTGCCTAGTTCCGCTCCTCCCAGGAGTGTGGGCCAGGCCAGTGGCTGGCTTCAGAGACAGTCTGCTTCTCCAGAGGAACTTCCCGCCTCCCCAAGAGGAGAAGGCTGCGATGGCCGTAAACTGAGTCCGCACAGACCAAGTGCTCACAGTGTCCGCCACCCTGCTGCTTACTTGGTGTGCGTCATTGTATTTGATATCTTTAATAACTCCATAATGCTTGCAGTAAGTATTCTTCTTTCTCCAGGTACTTCTAGGATCCTTGTTTTCCATTTCCTGAAGCTCATAAAGGGTAAATAACTCACTCGAGGGCACACATCTAAGATTTGAGTCTATGTCATTCGACTCTGGAGCCCATGGCCTTATCTGCCACACTATACTGCCACCCTATTGTCCTGAAAATGTGACTTTCCTGGGGTTACTCAGTCCAGCTGAGAGCCACTCTAAGCATTAGTTAATTGCTTCTAGTTCCCTGTCCGCCACATGTACCACACCTTTTGGGCAGAGTTTGGGGTCCCAGGCCTTTCTTCCTTCTGTCACAGTAGTGCTGGGTTTTCTCTGGGGGCTAAGCCGTCCCATAACCCCCTCACTCTGGTTAGGAGGCCGTGAGTCCTGCCCTGCAAGTGTGGAAGCTCTGCTTTGTATTTTGTGTTTAGAACCTGGAGGAAGAGACGACTGCTGAAACCAGGTGGCCTGGTCCCAGATGACCCTTCCTCAGAAGGAAGTGTGCTTCGGGGCTGGACAGAGCTGCTTTCACCTGCCTCATCAAGAAGCTGGCTGGGATGGTACCAGAGCTGGGGTCCCAGAAGACGGCGCCTCTTCTGGGTGGGAGAGAGGCCCAGACAGATAGTTGGGGAGTGGGAGCGAGAGACATTTCTGGCCTCAAGGCCCCCGGAGCCCCCCGGGCCAGCCCAGGGCCTCGGTGTGCCCACTGGGGGCTGCCTGACTCCCCACAGGATCAGTATGTCTCCCTGGAGCTCTGGGCACTTGCTTCCCTGCTCCGGTTTTATTAGTACTTCCCCTTATAGCACATGTAGGGGTTTTTTACCTCAATGGATTTTACATTTGGAAGCGAATGACCGCACCATAATTATTCTCGTATCTCTCTATAGGGCCTGGTCAGTGAGNGTGAGGGGGGGGGGGTGGGAGGGAGAGGGATATAAACAGACCAGCCTTGAATGAATGAATAAGTGAATGATGAGAACCAGGTGAAACGATGAGTGTGTACACACATGTGTGCCCGTGCATATATGCACGCATTCGTGCACGCATGTGTGTTGAGGGTAGTTTTCGCTGAAGGTTGGAAAAACAAGGATGAGAGAGGAGGTGGGATATGGAGAACAGAACCCAGACTGGGAAGTAAATGTGCGTGATCATGACACCTGCAGCCGGTGACTGCATGCTCACCGCCCGTCAGCCTTATTAGCCACAGGCCTCACATCTGACGCCCACAGCCACCCTCCAAGGCTGGCACAGGGCTGTCCTTATTTGACAGATGATGGAGCTGGATCTTAGAGGAGGAGGTGGCTGGCCAGAACCCGGTGTGGGGTGAGCAGCAGGCCTAGGACCTAGGGGGCCAGGTCAGCCGCCCCAGGAGCCTGAGTGTGAACCGTGAAACCAGCCTCTCTGCTATGTTCCTGCTGCCCCTGCACTCCTCTTCTGAGACATTTTGTGAGCTCTCTGTTTTTTTAAATAAATTATTTGAAAGTATTTGTCTGTTAACTGTCTTCACCGCTAGACTGGAGGCTCCAGGAAGGCAGGGACACACTGATCTTCTGTCTTTAGTCACATTCCTCGCTGTTAGACCGCGGCCCTGTCGCGTGGTCAGCACTCATCAGCACGTGTTCTGAAAAGAAGCAGCCCCGGGGCCCCCCAGCCCCTGCTCCCCCACCCCTCTTGCCTGTGCACTCCTGTCCCATCAGCCAGCCCACTCCCCCACCAGCCTCATCCTGAAGTGAGACTAGCGGGCACTCAATGCCACGGCCAGTTTTCCTCCCAGCTGGTCCCTGGACTCAATAAGTGCCGACGTGTGGCTGTCTCTCTCTGGCTTAGGATGGAACATCGCCAGGGAAGATGGAAGCCGCCACGCGATGGGTGACACTGGGGCTTCTAGGGGACTTTGTGACAGGAGATTGAATGTCCCTGTGCCTTGTGCAGGACGGCAAGATGGATGCACAGTGGAAGAACTTGAACGAAAGCTGCCAGACCATTGCAATAGCATCCCTCCTAATGGCCAGAGTTGACTTTCCCTGAAGACACACAGCACCCGAGTCGTGCTCCAGATTCCTATGTGCTGGGGGCCTGGGGCTCCTCCCGACGCCCACACAGGAGATGCTCCAGCAGAAGAAGGGGCAGACCGGCGAGGGAGGTTGGAGCCTTCCTCCTCAGGCTTCTGGAAGCCGGCAGCCCTTCAGAGTTCCCTGACCCCTGCACGTCCCACTTTCTCCCCCAAACGCTGCTGTTTCCTGTCTGGGAACACAGAGAGGACTTTCTTCGTCCCTCTCTCTCAGGAAGTGGCCCTGGGTAGCCTGGAGTCTCGATACTGATGCCAGGCCCACAGGCTCCTGGGCAGAGAAGAGTGGGTGGGCGGGGTGGCTCGGAGCTTCTGGAGTCGTGTCCCTTTCCTGGGGTTGCAGAACTGGGGAGTCCCCAGCACATTACCAAATACAGTAGAAAGGAGGCCGCGGACCACGCGCTGAGCACAGCGCCGTCCACGCTGGCGGGGCGCCACGCGTGCACTGAACAGGACAGGCCTCGCCGGCCGCTCGGGAAGCCCGCGTCCTGCCCGCTTTCCTGGCTCTCTGTGGCTCTCGTCTGCTCCTGCCAGCCTCCACATTTTTGTATCTTTTTCTCATTGCGTGGCCCCCTTGTCTTTAAAAGGCTAAATGCTCTGTACTAAATTTGGTCACACAGCGCTCCAAGATTCCCTGGAATGTCCTCAAGTTTCAAACAGCTCTGACGGCGAGGAGGCCCGCCCCCGCTCGGGGATTGGCTGCTTTCCCCCCGGGGCCGGGCCGTCGTGGGGCCTTATTGGCCGCTGGCAGGATAGGCCCGGGTCCACTAGCCCTGGGCTCCGGAGGCTGCAGCTCCCAGACCACACTTGGGCACCTGCGCAGGCAGGGTGGGGGAGCCGCGGCCAGGACCAGCAGGGGTCTGCTGCATCCACACCGGCGCGCCCGTCCCAGCCACCCAGACCCTGCAGCCCCACAAGAGCGGCGGCCCACTGCGCCAAGATGTCTAAGGTAGCCAAGTATCGCCGGCAGGTGAGCGAAGACCCTGACATCGACAGCCTGCTGTCCACCCTGTCGCCTGAGGAGATGGAGGAGCTGGAGAAGGAGCTGGACGTGGTGGACCCTGATGGGAGCGTCCCCCTGGGCCTGCGCCAGAGGAACCAGACTGAGAAGCCGTCCACAGGCGCATACAACCGGGAGGCCATGCTCAACTTCTGTGAAAAGGAGACCAAGAAGCTCATCCAGAGGGAGGCGTCCATGGATGTGAGTGGGGAGGGAGTTGGGGGGGAGGGGCGGGGGAGGGGCCGCAATGCCGAGATGGGAGAAACAGAGTTCCTGTTGGCAGGGCACTGCCATCCCCTGCACCCCTCTTCGCTGTCTCCTGGAGCAGAGGCCGGGTGTGTTGGGACCAGCACCACGTATCACACGCGGCTGCGAGCCGCCTGGGAGCGGAGGCGCCCTTGGGTGGGCTCTGTCAGTTGCCTTCTCCCGGCCCTGCACGCCTGGCTTTTTCCTCCCATTCCTCCCACCCTGGACAGGCTCCTGCCAGCCCCTCTTGGTGGACCAAGGCTCACTTTCCAGCCCCCTGGCCGCCTCGCGGCCTGTGGACCACGTGAAGCAATGGGTCAGCTGGGCTCCCCAGGGCAGGCTCTGTGCCTCCACCCACGGCTTCCATCTCAGTCCCAGGGGTATGGAGTGTGTGCTTTCTGGACGGGCATCTGGAGGGAGCAGCCCCCCTTTAGGGGGTCAGGCCACTTGGCTGCAGGACGAGCTGTTTCCCAGCCTCTGGGTGTTCAGCTGCCAGGAGGGGACGGAAGAGGGCAGGGGTCACCGTTGAGCACATCCACCGCTTCGGGTCAGCTTCCGCAGAGCAGCGTTCTGCTTTCCTGGGTCTCTGCTTATGATCACAGGGGGGCTTTCTTGGGACGAAATAGCCTGGCCTCGCCGGAGGGCGACTTCGTCCGGGTCAGGAGTGTTTGGTGGGAGACCGTCCCGCTGTGCTCGGCCCTCCTGCTCAGCGAACACTGGCCACCGCTTCGTGCGCCGTGTGCTGAGGGGCCCGCCCAGTTGGGACAGCAGCCATGGAGCCCGTGGTGGGGCACGCGTGGCCCCCTGAGGGTGGGGAGCGGGGGCCCCATCTCTGCCCTGCCTGCCCCCTGGCCTGAGCGCAAAGCTTCGCCAAGACACTGGGAGGGCGGGAGCTGTTCTATATCGTGCAGAAATATCAAATCATATGCTGGGCACCAGGAACTAGCAAAGCAATAGCATCTTAGGGCAGTTATACCTCAGTTTAAAGTCAGGGAGACTGAGGGGAGCCAGGAGCTTCTTATCCTGGGGCAAGGCCTGGCTCTGTGGTGCTGGGTAAATGCTAAAACCCGGAAGGGAGAGGCAGCAGGGGGAGGGGGGAGGGGGGACATGCTGCAGGGGCTGTGCCTCTAGGGGCTGTCGGGACCCACAGGAGGGAAGTGAGGTGCCACCGGCACTGGCGCCGCTGTCAAGGCCTCGCTGGGCCCCTTGCTCCCAGGCCGGGAGCTCTGAGCCCACAGCTGCAAAGATCCCCAGCAGCACAAAACAGTCCTGATCCGAAGCAAGGCATTCAGGCCGCAGAGCCGGGAAGGGCTCCCACACACCTGGAAGTTCCTCCAGTGGGAGCCGCTCCCTGGCTGGCCGTTGGCACCAGGTGGATACTCGTCTCGCAGGCAGAGCCCGAGTCGGGGGACGCGGTGGGGCCTGGTTGGGGGAGGTGCCCTGGGCCCGTTTCCCTTGAGGAGAGGCCCTCAGGCCCCCAGTGTCTTCTCTAGGTCAGGCTCCCGGGGGTGGGAGCATGGGCAGGAACCTGGGACACAGCTTGGTCAGCACCCTTAGCCAAACAGGAGCCTGGTATAAACGCGGCTTTGAAATACCCGGTCTGAGGACCAGCGTTCCTCACTGGGACCTGCCTCGGTCTCCTCATCCCCGCCGTAGGGGCCAGCATGACCAGTTGGTCCTGCTCCTGGGCCGGTGTTAAGCCGGAGGGACCGAGGCACGCAGAGCACTTAGCGAGCTGGGGGGCCGTGGATGTGTGGTAACCGGCGGCTCTGACCTGGTCAGCCTCCCGGGTCAAGGGGCCTGGGAGCTGGGGAGCCAGCCAGAGGGTCAGGGGACCGGTGACCGGGAGGCAGGGCGGGGCTGGGGGTGCCTCTGGAGGAGAGAGTAAGGCGCCGACTGCAACTGACCTGATGACAGTGTTGAGGGTGTGGGCATACTTGTTAAAGGATGCTTGTTTTCCAGATGGGAATACAAAATACCTACGGGAAAAAACCTGCTAGGATCGGGGAATTTGTTTCAAGTCCTGTGGCGAGGCGACCGGGCAGAGTGTCCGCTGGTGGACAGGTGTGAGTGCGGGAGCTGGTGGTGACTGCGGGTGACCGTCGTGCTCAGCTCTCTGCTTCTATGGGTGTGTTGAGATTTCCGTAGTATGTTGGCCATTCTTTTTTTTTAATAGGCAGAGACCAAGAGCGGAAGGCGGGCCCAGCCTGCATCCTGAGCTCCAGCTCTTCCTGGGACAGGGCCCCCAATTTCCGTACGCTGGCTATCGTGCGGGGTGGGTCTAGGCTGTGGCAGAGACCTTGCTCTGCTTCTGCCACGCCGCCTGCTTCCTCCGGATCGGCTGTCATCTGTCCTTGGGTCTCAGGCACCACTGCCTCCAGGGAGTCTTCCCTGATGTCCCCCGCCCGCGGCAGGGTCCGCCCCTCATCTGATCTGAGTGCTCCAATTCCATGTGTGCCCACCTGATCCCAGCCCATACTGTCCTCCAGCCACTTTGCTGCTGAGTCTGCCATCTCGTGCAGCTCCTGTGGGTCTGAAGGACAGGCTAGCTCTGTCTGGAGAGCAGGGGTCAGCAGGCCCCCCTCCCCTAAAGGCAGGGTGGGGGGTGTCGCCCCGTCCTCCTGCCCAGGTGGGAGGCAGCCGGCAGGTGTGCAGCCAAGTGTTCAGTGAAACCCTAGTCCCGGCTCAGGTTTCGGGAACCGGATCCCCCCGGTCAGCTGTTTGCTCTCTTTCCTTCCCGAGGGGGAGGGGACCTCCCGCCTGCCCCCCGCCCCCCCACGTGGCAGGGCCAGGATTAGCACCTGCGCTCAGCCAGGAGCGGGCAGCTCAGCTGGCCTGGAGGAGACCTCGGTGGGCTCCCCCTTGGGGTAAACTCCAGAACCAACCGGAGGCCCCCCGTGAGCCTCCGAGCTCCCTTGGTCACTGCCCCCACAGCCCCCACAGCCCCCCACCTCCAGACTCAGTCCCCCCCCCAGCATCCGCGGTACCCCCGAGGGGGGATGTGGAGGAGCAGGGTGGCACCAGCCCTCAGGCTGCCCTTTGCCGAGAGCCCTGGGCAGCACGGCTCCTTGCTTAAGGAGATTAACCCCGATGGGTACACAACCAAAATAGCCCCGGAAGCCAGGCAGAGGGGCAGAGAGGTGATGGGAGGCGCCGGCGGGCACCAGGAGAGTCCAGGTCCCACCCCGGGCAAGAGCTGCCTCCGCCCGTCCAGGCTGAGAAACAGCCACTAGCCATTTCTTTTTTTTTGGCCATTTCTTAAACTAGGTGGTGGGATCCGTTTGCGTTTGTTTTAATCACTGTTAATCACTGCTCTCACTCGTGTGGTATGTAGTTTCTTCCATCTATATAGAACATTCAGTTTAGTGAATTTTGAGCACGCGAAGCTCTGCTCGCAGCCTTCGGCTGCCCCCGGGGGCTGGTGGCCTCCTCAGCAAGGGTTCAGCTTGGTCCAGGGGATAGAGTGGAGGGGGGCAGGACCACGGAGATCTGGACGCTGGAGAAGCCCAGCAGTGCTGGGGGTGCAGATGGGCAAGGCTAGTTGAGCGTCCCGCTGACCAACAGGAGGTTGCTACCAGCATCTGGCAGGAGGGGGCTCAGGGTCCCCAGGGCGGGAGCAGAGCCCATACCCACCGTCTGCGCCCCCCAGGAGGCTGGAACGTCTGTGTCAGACCACAGCTCAGCTGGGCCCAGGTGCTCGGAAGACGGGGTCCAGGCCGCTGGGCTCACGGCAGCAGGGGAGCACCAAAGCACAGCTCGGTGGAGGGGGCGGGGGGTAGTTGATATTCGACGCCTGCCAAGCTGGATAAACAGGAATAGCCTTTCCAGATCATTCTGAGCTTGTTTACTCGGTACCCCCGAGGGGGGATGTGGAGGAGCAGGGTGGCACCAGCCCTCAGGCTGCCCTTTGCCGAGAGCCCTGGGCAGCACGGCTCCTTGCTTAAGGAGATTAACCCCGATGGGTACACAACCAAAATAGCCCCGGAAGCCAGGCAGAGGGGCAGAGAGGTGATGGGAGGCGCCGGCGGGCACCAGGAGAGTCCAGGTCCCACCCCGGGCAAGAGCTGCCTCCGCCCGTCCAGGCTGAGAAACAGCCACTGGCCATTTCTTTTTTTTTGGCCATTTCTTAAACTAGGTGGTGGGATCCGTTTGCGTTTGTTTTAATCACTGTTAATCACTGCTCTCACTCGTGTGGTATGTAGTTTCTTCCATCTATATAGAACATTCAGTTTAGTGAATTTTGAGCACGCGAAGCTCTGCTCGCAGCCTTCGGCTGCCCCCGGGGGCTGGTGGCCTCCTCAGCAAGGGTTCAGCTTGGTCCAGGGGATAGAGTGGAGGGGGGCAGGACCACGGAGATCTGGACGCTGGAGAAGCCCAGCAGTGCTGGGGGTGCAGATGGGCAAGGCTAGTTGAGCGTCCCGCTGACCAACAGGAGGTTGCTACCAGCATCTGGCAGGAGGGGGCTCAGGGTCCCCAGGGCGGGAGCAGAGCCCATACCCACCGTCTGCGCCCCCCAGGAGGCTGGAACGTCTGTGTCAGACCACAGCTCAGCTGGGCCCAGGTGCTCGGAAGACGGGGTCCAGGCCGCTGGGCTCACGGCAGCAGGGGAGCACCAAAGCACAGCTCGGTGGAGGGGGCGGGGGGTAGTTGATATTCGACGCCTGCCAAGCTGGATAAACAGGAATAGCCTTTCCAGATCATTCTGAGCTTGTTTACTAGACCGCTCCTGGTGTTGATGGTAAAGGAAGAAGGGGTCTGGATTCAGAGTCTGTCCCCCTGGGACTGACTGGGGTGGGGGGCGCCCTGGTGTCTGGAGCCCGAGGGGTCTAGGCGGGACTCTGCTCCAGTCCCTGACCAGCTGGGGAACTCAGGTAGTCCCCTTAGGAAGTGCTCAGGACTTCCTGGACCAAAGGCCTCATTGGTGTGGCTCCCTGAGTCAACAGTATTACCTGTCA